GCTGTTTACCTATCTGCCCTCCTCAACACCATAGGTGATGGTCTCAGCAGCTGCTTGTCTCAGGATCACAAGTGGGAACTTGCCAACTCCATACTCAAACATATTTTTCAGTTGGGGTTTTCCAGAAGTAGATTGTTTTTTTGCCGTGGTCACCAACATGAAGTGTGCAAAGTTTTCCTGAAGAGGAGGTCTAGGTAGCCATTCCCTGGGAGGTACCTTCTCATCTCTTGGTTGAAGCATCTGTCATATGCCTATCCTCCAACACTTCTCATCCTCAGTCTTAAACAAGATCAAGTAGGATGGAGCCAAGGTTGTCTTAATTGCATCAGCTTAGCTGAGATGGGTATCAATTCCATATCTAATTTGCATCCCCTCTCTTCCTGCTATCAACCTTCCACTAACACCCAACCTGCTCACACAGGACTCAGAAAATATTCTTTACCCCAACCCGAATGCTCTGTGACTCAAGACATGGTGCCTGATTGTCTGTTGGGGATAGAACTCTCCTGTTTTACAGAGATTCAAGAGATTCTGTTGAATAGTAGAAAAGAATCATCTAGAAAAAACTTATGGGCAGGAATGGAAGAGATTTTACCATTGGTGTACCCTATAACACTTGTCTCCTATTGACTCTCACCTCTCAGAAATCCTAGAGTATCTCTTTGGGTTGAAGAATATAGACCTTTCTCTGAGCTCTGTTGAAGTTCATCTAGTGGCCGTCATGGTGTTCCATGATCCAGTGGAGTGGTTTTTGGCGTTTGCTCATCCTGCAACCTCTGGGTTCATCAAAGGGTTATTTAACAGGTTTCCACACGTCAGGGAGCCCCCATCCTGGGATTTGGACTTAACTCTGATGCAACCTCCCTTTCAACTGCTGGTCATGTGTTCACTCTTGCGTCCTATCCATGAAGACCACTTTCTTATTGACAGTCACTTCTGCTTGGAGAGTTGATAAGTTAGGGGTTTGATGAGTTTGATAAGTTTGATGGCTACACTGTTTACTTTAAAGACAAGGTATCCCTTCGGCCATATCAGTGGCTCTTAACTGAGATCATCTTGGATTTTCATATCAATCAGACTAGTCATCTCCCTGTTTTTCACCATAAACCTCATTAGACTAGGGAGGATGACATCCTTCACACTTTGCATGTTAGAAGGCTGTTGTCCTCCTATTTAGTTAGATAGGACTAGACCCTTTCAGGCCTCTCTTCCGTTATTTGTTTCTGTCACAGATAGAGCTACAGGAACACTCGTGCCCCCAGAGACTTTCTCTCCTGGTACAAAGTTGCTAATATTCCATTCCCTTCTAAGGCTATATATAGTCCATTCCATCAGGTTGCAGGCCACTTCTGTTGCTCTATTAAAGGACATTCCTATTTCAGAAATCTGCAAAGCTTCCAGATGGGCCTCCATCCACATTTCTCAAAGCACTCTGCTCTAGTGCGTGCATCTTGCATAGATGCTGTGCTTGGGACTGCCGTCTTCCAATCAGTTTTAGATCCTTCTCCAAAGCACTCACCACCTCTAATGAGTACTACTTGGGAGTTACCTGAAGTAGAGCATCCACAGGGACATTACTTGAAGAAGGAAAGTTTATTTAACTTATACAGTGACTGGAGTTCTTCTAGATGTTTGTCCGTATGAGTGCTCTACTACCTGTCCTTCATCCCTTCTGCTTTGGAGTTTGGTCTCCATGGAACTTCTGAAGTAGAGAAGTAACCGAGAACTGTTTGTCCATTACAGCCCTATGTACCCCCAGTATGGGGCACAAGGATAGGTGTTTTAGCTCCTGTGGAGCTATGCTTGCCCTGATCCACTCAGAATAGGGTGATATATGTAGCCTGGAACTGTAACTTTTCCATAATGTGCATTTTCTCCAGCTTGTCATAACTCCACCCCTCATTCCTCCTGGAGAAGACTCTCAGGTTCTGGAGAAGGATGGTCCTTTGAAGATTCCGAAGTTCCCGTTCTATGTTGACAACAGGAGCTCCATATGTGCAGGATTCTTCCATGCACAAATCAAGAGGGAGATGATTGGGACCGTTGTTGGTTTGATAATAATTTAAAATAGCATTACGTGCATGATTTAAATAGACATTTGAATGAGGTGAGTGAGCCTCATCTAATTTTAATAATAATTGTGCCATGAACTGAAATAAGATGGAGTAGGGATGTTCAGCAGGCTTTTCACTTTTTTCTTTAATTGCATACATTCTAGGTGATATTCTAATTTTCTTTCTTTACTTGTGTGAACAGTGTTTCTAAGCCCTATGTGCCCATTTTAAAGAAACAATAATTTATTTGACTAGCTTTGCACATTTATGGTGCAATCTTGTTGCTATCAAAACCAATGGAAAAACTACTGTCCGCATCAATGTGAGCAGTCGTGTCCTTATTACCTAAAGAGCTGGATGCAACAGTGGAGCCAGTTTTAATGAGAATTGAATTTGTGTATTGAGTTTGGAAGAAAATCTGATGGAATAGACAATTATGATTGTATATGGAATTAGCAAATAGATTCAGTAGCAGTAACTATCATTATAATCAAGGTTTAAACAAATTCACCAGATATTTAGTAGCCTGAGCTTACCTGGGGTCACTGCCAGCAAGGGACATTGAAGTTCCTTGATAAGGGGGGGTCTCGTCTCATCCTAGCATCAAGCCAACAGCTGGGAATCTGAAGGTGGTGGAATTTTGAGCAGGGTGGTTTCACTGGACCCTCCTTGGGGCTCCATATTTGGTATTTGTTCTGGCTAGAGGGTGTGCAACAAATTTTAGATGGCAACAACTTCTAGTTGTTGGAAGAGAGAACATTCTCCTCTCTCTTTCTAGTTTGGCTACTGCGAGTGTAGAGCGTAGCATGCAAAGGGTAGTCTTCAAGAAAGTGTGTTTCACAGCCTTGTTCTGAATAAGGTATTTAGTGCATCCTGATAAATGATCTCATCTTTGTTTTGTTGCTCATAGGGGAATTTGTTATTTATGAAAGTTCAGGATCCCTTAGCTTAATTATTCAACAATCCTGGACTCTAAATTGGAGGACTCTTTGTTAATAAAAAGCAGGGTGAAAGAATGTTACGTTTATCATTGTAGTGCCTAAGGACCTATTGTGCTAGGCACTGTACAGACATCGAAAGAGATGGCACCTGCCCCAAGGAGTTTACAGTCTAAATAGACAAGACACCCACCCACCCACCCACCCACCTATGTGATGGCAGCAAATTTCATGTTAGTTTCATGACTTCTTTTTTCGTGGGGAGTGGCAATGTTGAAAAGGAATGGTGAATGAGACCTGGCAGAGGGGGATGTGTAAAATAGATTGAGGGACGGAGAGGGTTGGAACAAACTGTGAGTCAGCACAGGCCTGAGAAAGTACAGTCAAAACTGTAGAAAATGTTCTGCTTGTCTTAAAGTCCTTATTTTCACAGTTTCCGTAGCTGTTCCTACTAGCTGGAGTCTCTGGCTGGTTCCTCCCTGCAGTCTTCCCCCTCTCCCCCCCCAGGCCACATGGTGAGGGTGGGGTGTGGCACCAGACCAATATTTTAGCTCTAATATCCCCACAATAGGGATGTCTCCCCTACAGAGTTCTGGGACCAAGGAACGGTGGGGGGAGATGTGGTTCTGCATGGACCCCATTTTGTCCTCTCCTGAGTGCAGCAGTCCCTGCTTTAGCTACTTCTGTAGTTTCTCCTTCCAGCTGGAGTCTCTGGCTGGTCATGCATTTTCAAAGCCATCTTTCCTGTATGGAGGATTTGGATCTGACTTATGTTAAATATTTTACTAAAAATGTACACACTGTATCCTGACAGAAGTACAGAAAGGCTGTGTCTGCACTCAGAATTTTTTGCAATTCTTTCCACCATTTGTCCAGCACAGTTCATCACCATCAGGGCTAGCAATGGTGAAAATGCTAGTGTAGACAGGGAACAGATATTTTTCTTGATGTGACATCTAAACATGCTTAGAAAGGGGAGAGGAGAAGCCATTGTTCTGGAAGCTCTGTGAGAGTCCCACTGGATTCAGTGGAATAGTGAAGTATAATTTAAATATCATTGACACATTCTTTGCACTGTTAGCTGTAGCAGGTGCTGATTGCTTTGGGAATCACATACCCATACGTAAGGCTGCGTTTTAGTCACGTGTATTTTTAGTAAAAGTCATGGACAGGTCACGGGCAATAAACAAAAATTCATGGCCCGTGACCTGTCCATGACTTGTTCTATACCCCTGACTAAATCTAGGGAGTGCTGTGGGTTCTTGGGGGGGCTGGAGGGGGGGCACAGGTTCTGGGGGGGGGGGGGGTGCTGGGGGGGTGCTGGCCGGGGGGGGGCGCGGGTGCGGGGGGGGGTGATCCGGGGGGGCGCCACGAGTGCTGGGGGAGCAGTCCAGGGACGGGCAGCTGGTGCTGGGGAGAGTTGGAGGGGCTGGCAGCGACATGTCCCTCCCTAAGTTCCTAGCTCCGCAGCTCTCATTGTCTGGGAACCATGGCCAATGGGAGCTGTGGGGGCGATGCCTGCGGGTGGAGGCAGTGTGCGGGGCTAAGAGCTGAGGGAGGGACATGTTGCTGCTTCCGGGGAGCCCCTCCCAAGGTAAGCGCTACCCAAACTCCTCATCCCCTCCCGTGCCCCAACTCCCAGCCCTGAGCCCCTTCCCACACCCAAACTCCTCCTGCTGCTGTTGGGGGGGGGGGGGGGGCAGTGGCCCGCGACTGGCCCAGGGGCTGCCTGAGCTGCTCGGGCAACCCTGGAGCCAGCCGCACCGGCCACTGCCGAAGTCACGGAGATCACGGAAACGCATGGAATCCGTGACTTCTGTGACAAACTTGCAGCCTTACCTATAAGGCTCTTGGAACATTCATAGTTTGACCCTAGCAAACTCCTTCCAGGTGCTGCTGCTGTTTCCTGTGGGGGTGTGGTAGTAGAGGCCACAGGGCCAAGTATCTACTAAAATATTTTTCCAGTTAAAATTTAATTTTTATTCTCATGAATGTTTCACTTTTTCAGGAGTAAGAAAATCTTAAACAAGAAAAAACTGAAAAGGAAACAGAAGACTAAATTGAAAGTGAAAACACGAAACAAGGTAAATGATGTGGATCCATATGTTCAAGATATTACCTCTCCCACCTGGTCAGATTCTGTTCTATATCATAAAGAGGAGGAGGTTCATGACAAACTTCTTCCTACAGATTATTTTATCACTATGCTTAAAGACAGTATCTATATTGGGTTTGCTGCCACAGGAAATCCCTATAAGAGAGAAGGAGGAAAGCCAGTCTAATAGAGAAAGTGAGACCACTAAGCAATATAGTTCTGGTTCCAGGCTAGAATAATATAGCTATGTAAATCCTCCCCTTCGAAAAAATTATGAAAGAGGGAACGGAGCTTACAGGCAAGACCAAAAGGCAGAGTAGCATGGCCAAATAGTGCTACAATGTGCCCCAATCCAAAATCAAATATGGTCTCATTTCCTTATGTTGATGCTCTTTTCCTTCTAGTTTGACACAGCCAGTCTTTCAGATGGGGATCTATTGCCAAAGGACCTCACAGATTAGGAGAATAGAATCAGCAGGAAAGAAAAATTTTGAGGCCTTGTCAGCTGCATCAGTTTGTTTTGCAAAGGAATTCTGGCATGGATTGACAATCTGAAATACCTCTGAAGCACAGAAAGGCCTTTAAACTAGTTGCATCTCTGAAAAAGATGTCTTTAGAAGCAGACTTCATATTTGATGTCTCCCTCATTGCCCTCTGGTACTCAGTTAGAGCCAAGAGCTACAATGTGGTAGTATGCTGACCCATGTGGCCCTGGGAGTGAAAGAGAGATCCACAGATTAACTGCTCTCAACCACTTCAAAATACTGTAAGGGGAAGCTGTTTGGCAAACCTATAGATAAGCTGGTAGTGGATTTGTTGGAAAGATCAAGAAAGACCTTAGTTCCTAACAAGCAGGATAGGAGTGACTACAGGTCTTACCCCATATCAGGGTAGTCCTTTTACACTGACCAATATAGAAAATCCCACTGGAAACACTTAAGAGGAAAATGAAACAGATGCAGGGGAGCATGTGGTGGCAGAGGTGAGTTCTTTGATTCAACCTCAGATTCCTCAAAACAAACTGCATGTCTAGCAGACACCTCAGTGTAGAGAGGAGCCCCAAATTAGTAGTTGGCGGCTGCTTCAGTTTGCAGTGTTCTGACAAGTGGTGACCCTTGACAAATGGATTTTGGAAACAGTGCAACGGGGATAGTCTTTTGGATTTTTTTTCAAATTGAGGCAAATTTATTCCATTTGCCTTGCTAAAGGATATGTAGAAAAGGTGAGACATACAAATGGCCATCCTTCATCTCCTCTGAAAGGGAGGAATAGAATCTGTTCATTCTCCAGAGAGGAACCAGTGCATTCACTCCATCTTGTTGTTCCTAGTCCCTCCCCTCCCCCCCCCCCCCCCCCCCCCCAAAGTCAAAAGGCTACAAGGCAGTTCTCAGTCTGAAGGTATCTCAACAGGTTCATGAAAAAAACAAAGTCAAGATGTAAACCTTAAATCCACACTAACTGCTATCAACAAGGGTACTCTAGGGCATCCTTCAGATCTATTCATGTCAACTTCCATATCCCAATTTGGCTATCTAACAGATGCTTCTTGTGCTTTGCTCTTAGAGAACAGCACTACCAGTACAGGTCTCTTATCTTCTGGTTTATCAACAGCCATGCAAATATTTATGAAAATGCCAGTAGTGTTAATACTAGGAATGGGATTCTTGCCGATCCTTTCCTGGATGATCTCCTTTTTCTAGCCTTATCCAGAGTCGGAGCTATAGCCAGCACCAGTCAGGATGCTGCAGAACCATGGCTCTGTGATTAAATTGGGAGAATAATCAGTTTAACACCTTTGCAATAGATTTCCTACCTCAGAGGAGAATAGATGCCGTTCTCTATAAAGTTTTCATATCACAGGAGAAACTGAGGAATCTTATCAAAACTGGTCAGCCCCTGTTGGGTAGTATCCACTCTCACACACTGTCTATTCTGAGATCAGTAGTCTCTTGTGTGGATAATCTTTAGTGAACCCATGCTCATGTGAGGATGCTACAGAGCTTCCCCTTGTCCTCCCTCACCAATCTCTTTTCCACCCATCAGTGAAGGTATATACCCAAGTGATACTCAAGTCCCTCAGATAGTGGGTTTCAAGCAAATTTGATTCAGGCTTCCCGATAGGCAAACCAGTCAGGAAGTTATTGCCACAGATGCCAGTCTGGAAGGATGGGATGCTCACACCAGGTCAAGGACTTCCTGGGGATCTGCTCCAAAAAGGGAACGAACAAACAGTACAAACTGCTTAGTGCAGTATCCATATTTGGATACTGGTCATGACAGACAAATACCTTGGTGTAACGTCCTGCATCAGTAGGTGAAGGGGAGCAAGGTCAACACTCCTATAAAGAGAAGGTTACTTGCTAATGACTTTGGCAGATTCATCTCTGCTCCCTTCACATCTAAGGGAAAAATGAATGTTAGAGCTGACTGGCTTAGTTGGGAACAAATAGATAATTCAGAATGGGAACTATACCCAGGTGTGTTCTATCTGTTTGTAAAGGACTTAGTCTCCAATCTGTTTGCCTCCCACCTGAATCATAAGGTTCCATTGTACAGGGAAGAAATGATTAAAAAAAAAAAAATCAAAGCATAGAAAATTAATTTGTCCTATCTTCCTAGAGGAGCTCCTCATCTTTGCCTTTTAAGGAGAAGTTTTTGAATGTGAGAGCGAAGGGTTATTCTACCTGAATGTTCTGAAAACATGTTTAAAAAGAGAAATAAAATTGTCCATGTCAGTTTGACATTCAGAATGAGCAAAGTAAAAGAAAAGAAAATACGAAAATTAAGAGAAATGGCACTAAAAAGGGAGAAAAAGTTACCTGTAGAAAGTATTTCTGTTCAAGATCTAAAGAGGAGCTTTGGATTTCCAATGACAATACACTTCCTTAAAGAGAAGACAAGAGCTTTGCTTAGTCTTGCAGAAGTGTTTCAGACACCACCTTGGATTGACTTTTTGTTAGATTCCCAGCCTCAAATGCTGCAATAGCTGGAAGCCAGAGTGTAGCTGGTGTGTTGCAGACAGGCTGCTTGGGTCAGAGTTGCTGGATCAGGGCTATATTGTAACACGGACACTCACGGTGGGACCTGCATGCTGTTTGTGAGCAGCCCAGGTTTGGGAGCTGCAACAGCAAGAGGGCAGGTTTTTCCGTCAGATTCACAGTCCCTTACCTGACTGCTTGGGCAATTGGATTTTGACCGTACCTACTCTTGAGCGATCATGTTCCTTGTTGGTGTAGGATATACTGCATAACTCTAGAAAGCTGTCTACCAGCAAGTGTTAACTAATTTGAAATGAACCAGATTGGTGCCTTGGGTGAGGCAAAAATCTTATTAGTACTCAGCTTCTATACTTTGTATTTTAGAGTAGTTAATGCACTTAAAATTGAAGGGTTTTCTAACTCATCTTTGACATTTTTAGTTGATGGTAGATTGCTGTTTGCGCATAATATGGTTATCTGATCTGTGTCCCCGTTTAAGAAATCCTGTCCCTACTTAGGATCTTAATTTGGTTTTAGCTTCACTTACGAACTCACTTTTTGAATCCTTGTCTGATAGTTCATTGTATTGTTTATCTTTTAAAACAGCTTTCATTATTGCCATAACCTCAGCCAGAAGAATGAGCAAATTAAATGTCTTAATGGCTGAGCCACCATTTATGCCTTTTCAAAAAGATAAGGTGGCTTAGGCCTGATCCCAGGGTTTTGCCAAAAGTGGTGTCTGATTTTCATATGAGACAATTAATTTGCTGGTATTTTTTTCCCAGAGCTGCATATTAATAGAGGGGAATCTGTTTTATGTATTTTGGATGCAAGAATGCTCTTACATATTATTTAGTTACTTAGATTTAGATATTTTAGTTTTTGAAAATCATCTAGATTATTTCTGTTTTACCCTGTAACCAACATGAGTTTTAGCATATCTTTCTAGACACTAGAAGGATTAAAAATGTATTGTTGACTGTTACACATTAACAAATTCCTGTACCTATGACCGCATGATCACATTCTAGTACAGCTGTGGCAGCTTCTCTGGCTTACCTTAAGCAAGTTCCAGTTACTGAAATGTGCGGGGCTACGACCTGGTCCTGTGTACACACTCTTCTAAGCATTATGCTCTTAACTTGGCCATAGGGGCTAATGCTAGATTTGGTAAAGCGGTGCTTCAGTCTCTATTCAACTGGGACTCTGTTCCCTCCTCTGGGTTATTTTCAGCACTGCTGAACAATGCCATGAGTGGGATGTAGAGCCACTTGAAGAAATGAAGTTTACTTACTTGTAACCAGAGTTCTTCAAGATGACTCTGCATAGTCACACTTCCACCTGTCTTTCGCTTTGTCTAAGTGCTCTTTTTTTAATCTCTGGGTTGGCAGTGGAGGAATCTGAGGTGGTAAAGGGCACTGCACCCTCTTATATAGCCTTGGAACTTTCAGAGGCACCGAGAGGAGGTATAGGAGAGGGCACAGGAGCGCTCTAATAGTTACTGCTTGGAGAAGGTTTTATTTTTGGGTGCCATTAGGTGGTGCAATACCCATAACTATGAATATGCAGAGCCCTCTCGAAGAACTCTGGCTACAAGTAAGTAACTTCATTTTCAGACCTTGTTGAGCTAGACTGGCTATTAACATTTTTGATAGGTGATTTTTAGCATACCTCAAACATTATGATTATCAGGTCTTTAATGAATTCTGTGGTGGCATTTTTTCACCTATATCCGTTTTCTGGCATCTTTGCTGCTGATTATACAGTGATTATGAATATGAGCACCTTTATGTATATAGCTATCAGACATAAAAACATAATGGCAACCAAATCAACATCTCCTTTCAATTTCTCAACAGAGCTGCACTCCTAGCCCTCCAGCCCTCATTGAATTCCTGCTCTAAAAAATAGACTTTTATAGTATGTCCTCAAGATTAATAAATTTAGGACCAAGGTGAATAGTGGATTATTCCTAAAATTATTTGTTTAACACAGTAAAGTGTCGGGACTCCATTTTGTTATGTACTCTACAAACACAATACAAAACACTCCTTGTCCCGAAGAGCTTACAGTCCAAATAGACAAGATGGAATGTGGGAGGGGAAATAGAGGCACAACAAGGTGAAGGGATCTACCCATGGTAAAACAGGAGGTCAGTGGCAGAATCAGGACTAGAACTCAAGTCTCCGAGTCCCAGCCCATTGGACCACACTGCCTCTTCAAATTGAATGGTCTCTCATGGAAAATACTCTGCCATCAGCTCTCTGCTGTATCGATGGGGTTCTAGTTTGAGTATCTCTGCAGAATGAGGCAGTGTTAGCTCAATGCAGAAGGACAGATGGGTTGGAATACTTGAGGTTTGAAACATAAACTATCAATTAAATAATATAATGCTTAATACTGAAAGTAGGACAAGAGACAATTTCTGAAAGTTGGTCAGCTCATTGTAAAGATGTAGGAAAACAGCCTGTAATACTTAGTCTAGTGCTAAAAGGGTTGACTTCTGAAGTTACCTGAATGCAGGTAAGATGACTTGGCCGCCTAGTTATAAAGAGGGTTGGGTACTGCAACATATATAGATCAAGGCCTCATGCAATTCTAGTGAGAATGAGTTTAAATATGGAGATGTTCAAATTTACTGTACAGTAGCTGTCATTGCAGTAACATTTGACATTAATGAAGTAAACAAGGCTTTATGTGGAAGACTCTCCAAAGAACCTTGATATGTGCCCTACAATTGTTTTGCAGTAGGAGGGGAAGCATTGCTTATGAAGTAAATTGCTCTTAATTTGTATAATTAAGGCCAGTTTATTCAGCTTTAGGGCTGAAAACTGAGGTGAATGTATATTTGGTTTATAAATCATTGCAAACAAACTCTGAAAGTATATGTATAGATCCATATATACAGCAGAAGTATATTTTATTAAATTTTTATGCTATTTAACGTCCTGATTCTGTAGAAATTACATTTTTGTTTTGAATCTGGAGCTTTTTATTTTGAATGAGACATGACAATCTGGGCAGAACTATTTTTTCAAGTATTTTTATTAAAAAAACAGTTAACTGGCATTGTGTGTTTTCACGTTCATGTCTCAGCGAGTTCCATATCAAATTTGCAAAGCTAGTTGGTAAAATGATGATGGCTTTAACTTCTGGCTTGGCAGTTGCAAAGTGGGATCTCAAAATCAGTCTCTGTTCTCTAGGATTTGTTGGAACGTAGTTAACATTCTGTTTAGTGTGTGACTCAGGAAAAAAAATTGGCTTTCCCCTGTTTATATTTGCTTTGCAATTCTAATGAGTAAGAGGTAGTGTGACAGACCCAGACCAGTTGGGTGCAGGAGTCTGGTAGAAGGCAAATATACTGGCCACTGGATGAATAGTTTTCTGTTCCCCGAGTGACCAGAACAGGGGCTACCCTAGAGCAATCAGGAACCTGCTAGAACCAATTAAGACAGGCAAGCTAATTAAGACACCTGGAGCCAATTAAGAACTTACTAGAATCAGTTATGGCAGGCAGGCTAATCAGGACACCTGGTTTGAAAAGGACCTTCGAACAGTTAGTGAGGGGCGCGCAAGGAGCAGGGAGTAAGACGGCATGCTGCTGGAGGACTGAGGAGAACAAGCATTATCAGACTTCAGGAGGAAGGTCCTGCAGTGAGGATAAAGAAGGTGCTGGGGGAGGCCACGGGGAAGTAGCCCAGGGAGTTGTAGCTGTCTCGCAGCTATATAGGAGACATTGTAGACAGCTGCTATCCACAGGATCCTGGACTGGAACCCAGTGTAGAGGGCAGGCTTGGGTTTCCCCCATCCCAACCCTGACACCAGTGTGACAAAGTTCTTCCTCTGCCTTGGAGGGTCCCACGCTTTCTGGTGGATTTGCTCGCCTCAGAGGTTCATGGCAGCCCTGTTTGGCTGCTTTTGTTAGGGGCTCAAACCTGCCTTTCACTCAGCTAACCTCATCACTGGCCAGCATGGGGGAAATGGAGAACAATCTTCGCAGTCTCTGTTGTCCCACCTAGTGAGTCAGGGACAGGCCAGATCCCTTTCCAAATCAGACCTTCCCCTCTGGTGTGTCTCACACACCAGGTCAACTCCTCCTGTGCCAGATAGGGAGTTGAGGGGATGGGGGAACCCAGGCCCACACTCTACACCAGCTTCCAGCCCAGGGCCTGTGGATAGCAGCTACCTACGTCTCCTGTATCAGCTGCATGACAGCTACAACTCCCTGGGCTACTCCCCATGGCCTCCCCCCAGCACCTTCTTTATCCTTACTAAGAGCTGCCGTGAACCTCTGAGGCGAGCACATCTGTCAGAAAGTGCAGGAACCACCGAGGCAGAGGAGGAACTTTGTCACAGTAGTAAAAATGAACTGTTGTCAGAAAAAATTCCTTGAATACACACATAGGGATCTCATCTGCTTAGCATGAATGTGCCTTTTCTGCAGTCAACTTTCTGACCGTAATCACGTTTTAGTGTTAAATTTGTTCTTCTGTGCCACTATTTAGGTTAACACTTCTCCAGGGTTTCCTGCTTGTTTTCATGAGGTAGATTCCCAAATGTATGTCAGTGTTGTATGAATTACATTTAAATATAAAAAGTCAAAAACATATCTTTCTCAGTTGATTCTGAAATCCTGTCATGTGGTTTTCCTGTTATTGCTAGATTATGCAGCATATGGTGTACTGTAAGATTTCCTAATTTGAAGACTTCTGTGTTATTTAGGGTTATGATAAAGATACACATGCTGGTGAAACTTGCTTATCACTGTGTATTATGAATGACGTGCTGCTTTTCTCTGCCATATGGAGTTTTGGTCATTCATACTTGAAAAAATAAAATATTAACCCACTTTTTACCATTGTCTGGCTAAAGGGATAGTGAGACTTTGATATTTCTCTTTAGTGAAATTTGAAAAGTAATGAACTTTATAAATGAAGAATTAACTGTCAACCAAAAATAAAATCGTATTGTTTTTCAGACAGAAAACTTGGAGAGTACAATAACCATACCGGATATCAAATTACACAGCAACCCTTCAGCTTTTAATGTTTACTGCAATGTCCGCCATTGTGTTTTGGAGTGGCAAAAAAAAGAAACATCCTTAACTTTGGCTTCAAAGAACACTGTGCAGAGTGGGGATTCAGATAGTGATGAAGAAGAGGAGTCCAAAGAGCCACCCCTCAAGCTTCCAAAGGCAAGTGACCCTGGATAATTTTTCATGTGTAATTACAAGGTCTACATGGCACATCTTTGACAGTTTTATTCATCAACATTAATTTAACCCTTTCTCAGTTGGATCGTTTTACTTTATGACAAGTTATTAGGAACATAGTAATTGTTATACCAGGTCAGACCAAGTATCTTCTCTGACAGTGGTGGGTACTGGATGCTTCAGAGGACTGAAAGAAACTCTGAGGTGGTCACTTGGAAATAAGCTACCCATAGAAGTTTCTTTTTAACTCCCTCAATTAGAAGTTGGCTTATTCTCTGATTTATGAGGGTTTATATTACTTCCAAACATTTATTTTTTCAATCCCATCTAATGTAACTGGATATTTTTATCCTCCATATAAATATTTTGTTCTTTTTTTGAAATCTTGCTTAGCTCTTGGCTGCAATGTTTTGTGGCATTGATTGATGGTCGGTCTGTGTATTAAGATTGTGGACAGAATACTTCAGTAATAATAGCTTTTAGAATTTAATGACTTTAATGATTTTGCTATGAGTGTATAATAGGATGCTGTTCAATAGTGGAATATTAGAAAGAAAAGCTGGTGAGAATGGTTAAACTGCATCGTTTTTCTTACCTGCATATTTTATTTGCTCATATGTCCGATTACCAGTTCCATTTAGCTATTGAGTATGCCTTTTGTGAATTCTGTTTTGCCCACCAATTAGTTTTTGTTTAATATGTGTAATCTATGAATATTGTTTCCGGTCATCCTTCCCTGATGTGAGCTCAAAGGGAGTTGGGCAGAGCAGCTTCACATAGTTCTTTTTTATGTGACTTATTATGATAAGGTTGAATTAAATACTACTAAAATTGTTTTTTTTATGTTGGTCTTATTGTTGCCTGGAAAACAGGTATCTTACAGATGTTTTGTCATGAAAGGTTAGCTTGCAAGTCCAGAGAGGATTTTGGTGAACTTCAGAGGGACTTAACCAAAGTAGATAATTGGGCAACATGGCAGACAAATTCAGTGTTGATAAATGCCAAGTAATGCATGTTGGAGGGAAGGATTGGTGGTAATAATGCACTTTTACAGGGTTCTAAATTAACTATATAATCTCAGCTCATTGAAGGCTTGCTCAATGTGTAGCTTCAGTCAAAAAAGTAAACAAAATATTAGGATGCATAAGGAGTGGGATGAAGAGTAATATATGAAAAACAGAATGCCATTATGTAAATCAGTAGTATGGCTTTAGTACTGCTGACCCTGTATCCAAAAGGCTATTTGCGAATTAGAGGGGACAAAAATGACTAGGGACGTGGAAAAACATTTATGAAGAGAGTAGAAAGATTCCTGTTGTTTGTCAGTAAGGAGACAAATAAGAGAATGGGAATTTCTGTTCTTCCTGTCTCAAAACACAAGCACCAAGGGGATGGACATTCAGCACAATGTAAAGGTGGTAAATTTAAAACTGATAAAATGAATACTTTTTCACACAGTACTTAAATTGTGGAAAAATTGGAACAGGATGTTTTTTGAGCCTAATAACTTAGTAAGGCTCAGAGGGATTGGATGTTTATGTGGATACTTTGTAATAGTCACTGCTAATGAAGGACAGAAGGAGACAATAAGCTCTGTTCAGGACATAAATCAATCTCTTAACTACAAGTATTAAGATAAGACCTTTGAGGGGCGGGATGACCCCACATATACCTAGTGTGGGTTTTTTGTGTGTGTACACATTCCTTTGAAGTATGTGGTGCTGGCCACTTCTGGAGACAGGATACCCAGCTAGATTAATCGTGAATCTGATCCAGTATGGCAATTCCCATATAAGGGCATAGGGCCTGTTTTCTTTGTAAATTTGGTTGATAGCTTCTGAAGGTGGAGTTGTAAATGCTGCCTACCTTGATTTGTTTACTTGGGAGGGAAGGGATTTGTGATTTTTTTTTTGTTTTTTGTTTTGTTTTGTTTTTTGTAGTGAATATTCCACATTTATTGACTTTGTCACCTGATCAAAATGGAATGAATGACAGCTTACCTGTGTGAATGTGAAAAAACAAGCTGTTTTAACATCTTAAATACTATTTGCAGTTTCTAGAAATACTTTCATAGTGAGGCAGTGTTAGAACAGTGTGGATAAAATTTTCAGAAGTAACCTAAGCACCAGATTTTCAGTTATTTTGGTACCTAAAGATGCAATTAGGCATCTAGTGGGGCTTTAAAAAACACCTACACAGGGTAAACGCCAAATTTCCATTGTAATAATATGGAATTGGGCATCTAAGTAGCTTAGCTGCATATCTGCATCATTAGGCACCAAAGTGCCTTTGAAAATATGGACCTTTTGGAACCTAACAGCTTGCCTACAGTGTACCAATTGCTGTGCATTACTTGCAGTGTGGACTGTGTTACGGTGCAATGAAAGTCCAAGGATGCAGTTTAGTGGACTTTCACTGCTCTATAGCAGTGTCCACATGGTGAGTTACTATGCAAGCAAGCTGATTCACACTATAGCTTGCTGCACAATATCCATGTGTAGACAAGCCCCATGTTTTGTTGAAAATCCATAGGATTTAGGAGCCAAAGTGCCTAAATCACTTTTGAAGATAGGACCTAGACTCCTAAGTCACTTAAGTGCTTTTGCGAATGTTATCTTCATTAATAGGTGAATTGCTTTATGATATTTTGTGTGTGTGTGTATATATGTGTGTGTGTGTGTGTGTGTGTGTGTGTGTATATGTGTATATGTGTATATACACATAATAAAATTTATTGGATTGGCATAGGCTACTGAGCTCATTTTTGTTAATTTGATATAAATGAGGAGAGTTGTTGCAGGTGATTTGAAATCTCATTTTAATAATTTCTAGACTTATTTCCTTTGAATAAGGTACTGGGCTAAATAGAGAATATTGATAAAGATCTTTTATGTTTGTCAAAGTGTCAGAGGGATGGAAGTTGGAAGAAAAACTTACACCTAACTTTTTCCACTTTCACAGCTCCTCCGGTGCTAAGCTTTTTAAGACTGAGATTGAGGCCTGGTTTATACTAGAAAACTTGGTCGACATAACTATGTTGCTCACAGGTGTGAAAAATCCACACTCTTGAGTGGTGTAGTTAAGCCTACCGAAGTCCCAGTGTAGACAGCACTAGGTCAGTGGAAGAACTCTTCTGTTGACCTAGTTGCTGCCTCTCAGGGAGGCGGATTACCTGCACTGGTGGGAGAATCCTCCCTGCTGGTGTAGATAATGTCTGTACTGAAGAGCTGTGCCACTGTAGCATTTTACGTATAGACAAGCCTCTAGAATGCTTGTTTTTAATTCAAATACAAAATGCTTTTCCAATTGACAATAAAGCTGGTAGTTGAAAACAAGCTGAAATAATGTATTGTACTTTTTGAACAAGATGCATTAATAAACCTCAGTGAAATCTCTGGTTTTGTTTTCTGAAATCTGATAGGCCAACAAACAAACCAAATCGTTTTACATAGGCTTTTATTTGAAATATAGATCTGAATGAAAAATTCTTTGGAGGTTCCTGTAAATAGATGTTGGAGCAAAATTTGCTGTTTTCCTAAACTGCTGTGTGCCTTTGTTAGTCTTGATGCAAGGATTTTGTATTCTTTCTATGATGAAAGTGTAGTTATCAGGGGTTCACAGTCATGCTGGAAGGGCATAACGAGTGGGGTCCGCAGGGATCAGTTCGGGGTCCAGTTCTGTTCAATATCTTCATTAATGATTTAGACAATGGCATAGAGTACACTTATAAAGTTTGTGGATGATACCAAGCTGGGAGGGTTGCAAGTGCTTTGGAGGATAGGATTAAAATTCAAAATGATCTGGAGAAATGGTCTGACATAAATAGGATGAAATTCAATAAGGACAAATGCAAAGTACTCCATTTAGGATGGAACAATCATTTGCACACATACAAAATGGGAAATGATTGCCAAGGAAGGAGTACTGCAGAAAGGGATCTGGCGGTTATAGTGGACCACAAGCTAAATATGAATGAACAGTATAACACGGTTGCAAAAAAAGCAAACATCATTCTGGAATATATTAGGAATGTTGTAATCGAGACATGAGAAGTAATTCTTCCGCTCTACTCCGCGCTGATTAGGCCTCAACTGGAGTATTGTGTCCAGTTCTGGGTGCCACATTTCAGGAAAGATGTGGACAAATTGGAGAAAATCATTTTTGTTGCTCTTCTGTGGACTAAAGGTCTAGAAAACATGACCTATGAGAGAAGATTGAAAAAATTGGGTTTGTTTAGTGTGGAAAAGAGAAGACTGCGAGGGGACATAACAGTTTTCAAATACATAAAAGGTTGTTGAAGGGAGGAGGGAGAAAAATTGTTGTTCTTAACCTCTGAGGATAGGACAAGAAGCAATGGGCTTAACTTGCAGCAAGGGAGGTTTAGGTTGGACATTAGGAAAAACATCCTAACTGTCAGAGTGGTTAAGCACTGGAATAAATTGCCTAGGGAGGTTGTTGAATCTCCATCATTGGAGATTTTTAAGAGCAGGTTAGAAAAACACCTGTCAGGAATGATCTAGATAATACTTAGTCCTGCCATGAGTGCAGGGGATTGGACTAGATGACCTCGAGGTCCCTTCCAGTCCTATGATTCTGAGAGACAAACACGTGTGTCTGCTTTGGGCACAGTTGGCTTAAGAAGCCCAATGATGAAGACACTGGCCTTGGTCCTGGAATTGAATTCCATGATTGTTGCACAGGCAGTTCTTAATTCATCTGATCTGATAGTGAAAGCCTCTAAGGCACCACTGGCATTGGCTTCTGAGATAAGAGCCGAGCCCCAAGAAAAGCCTTTGTATCAGTCGTCTTTTGATTAAAAAAATGATGGCAAGAGATAAGAAGGCTTCTCTTATCAGGGCCAAGTTGCATCCAGGAGATTAATCAGATCTGCATTTTTTGACATCTGATCCTAACCTGAAAATTAGATGTAAATCCCTGCGTAAATCTCAGTTATGGGTTCTAAGGACAGCATCTGATCCAAA